GACAATACCCAACAACAAGAGGAAAAATAACTCAACAGCCCTTTGATAAATGGTTTACTTTCCCCACATCTATCTTTACCAGTCTGCAGCCATTGTATGTGCAGAATTACCAATCTGAGGCTGTTTTATGTTTTTACCAAAGATGGTGCCAAAGAAAAACGTGCTGCAAAACTCTCTGGGTAAGCTTTTATTTCAAGCTGTTTATGAGATTTGATAATGAGAAAAGATATCTTATATATCTGCAAAAGTTGCCCCCTGTTACTCCCAGATAAATATTTGAGAGCTCATGAAAAAGGAAAGATAGATTTTAAAAAAATAAAAGCAACAGAATATCCTGTTGGGTGGAAATAGTATTTTCATCCTGTGTCTTTTAAGGCCACAGTCTCACAGCCATCTACATTTTCTGAATGAGACATTGCATTTCACTATTTTATGTTAAAGATACCCATTACATCAGAATTAACCTTTTTACCAAATTCTGTCTTTGAAAAACTTATTCTGTCAGTTCAGACTCATAACATTTGCATTGATCCATAATGGGAAATATTTTTAAAAACTGAACATAAATTGACATAGAAATACATACTTCTAGTTATTCTATTCAGTCAAACTCTTTGACGACAATCCAAGTTATTTAAAGAGAATATTATATAACTCTTGAGCGTTTCCTGAATCGTCTCTAGAACATGCATCACCTCCAGGTTATGCACTTCTCAGTTCCCTGAAAATTGTTACCATTTCTTGACCAATGTGAGATTCTGTCAAGAAATGTGTTAATAGCGTGAAAATTGCTTCACACCTACTCTCCATATGACTACAAGAAATATTTTTAAGCCTCCTCACCCCAAACAGAACAAATGTTGAAGGGAAAAAGTGCTAAACTACCTGCAGAATTGTCTGCTGAGGAACAGCCAAATGAAATAATTTATTCTCTCTTCAAATCTCTTTCCCAAAATACAAGAAAACAAAATCCAGAGTTATGCTACCTAAGAAGCAAAATAATTAAAACCTGAATATAAATTAGGTTTTTTTTCCATTTTCTGACTCAAAAACCCCCTGACCCTGAATGAGATTATGTCTAACCCTCTTAGATGGCAATGAATAAATGACTAAATCTTTATTTAAGACTCGTTTTCTAGTTTCTAAACTTATTCTTTAATGGAAGACAAGCAATATCCTGTCCCTCCTTTCATACACAAATACAAAGAGATAGTAAAATAATATCTGATGGTTCAGCCTTTGTAACTCCTTTGCTTTGGGCAAAGAAATGTGAGTCACCTGTCCTACCATGTGGCTGTCACAAAAATCCATCCAATTAACACAGTTCTCCCTGTCTTTAAAGCAGCTAAATAATGTATCTAACTGATCTACCAGAAGTTACACATGGTTACTTTTTACTCCTTCTCTAGCTTCCTATTCCACAGCAGGCAGCCACAAGTCCTCAACTGTAGGGATAATGAGAAAACCCAAAAAGGACTGCAACACTGCGTATTCAGAGATTGGGAAGGTATCTTATACCTCTTATTTTAGGGACAAGACAAGTAAGTCTTTGCTTAAACTGACAAGTCCCACAAGGAAGCATTTTCTCCATCCAAATATGAACACAGTATAGAATAAAATCATTATACTAACATGCACTTTCAATATAAGTAAAAAATTATAATTTAGATTGATGTAAATTCCATGACGTCTTAAACAAGTCACACCATCACTCATTATGCCCTATTAAATGTTTTATTAGATTGTTAACCGTTGTTACAATGAAAGACATCAACGCATCACAAATATCAGCTCCAATTCTATCTGCAGGTTACTATGCGAGCCTCATTCTTCACACTGAAAATGTTTACTCTGAATATCTATGGTTAAATCATTTTCCCTAGAGAAAAGCCTCCAATTCATATTCAGGAAAGCAGAACAAAGCTGATGTTTTAAACTGTACAATCTATGAAGATAATGGGGAAAATCAACCAATTAGTATATCTGATATTAAAAAGCATCAAACTAGTCAAAATAATATATTTCTCTGTGTGTATGTATATGTGCATATGTGTATAGATAACTCATTTAAAGTATGGGATTAATTTTGTTTTAAGATGAAAATTGATAACTATTGTTTGAAAGACAGTGTATCTATATAATGCATTATCTTTGCCAAGGCAGTTTGGAATTTCACAGCCATTGCTTCACTAATACGTATACCTATTTTTCAGATGAACAAAAAAGGATCCCAGAGAATTGAAAGAACTTCCTCCACAAGACAGCTAATTAATTACGGATGATGGGCTAAAGTCTTGCTTCTGTTTGATGTCTCTGTGGCCCAAAAGATTTTCGGGAATGAATCCAAAAGTTAGAGCAGTGTTAGCAAGATGCACAGCACATATATTCATCATCAAAGATGTAAACTCAGAGCTGCAGCCTCTAATGATTTATAAGCATGTGTTTGATAAACACTGGGATAAACCCCACTCATAACACAGGATTTCCTTTACTTTCAGTTATTTTTTAAACTGCTAGAACCCTCATTTACCCTTCAAACCTTGCGAGGTAATTAAGCAAATTAGAAATTATAGATATTCCAGGACAAAAGAAATACTTTCAAAGAAAACATAGTCTTACATACAATTGTCATTTCTGTATTAAAGAACAAAGATAATAAGCTTCATCAAGTTCTCTATTGCTTATCCACACCTGAGAAGATGAAGAATCATCTATCAAGTTAAAATTTGGAAACCATAGGAACAAAAGAACGTTATTATTTGCCCACAATATCAGAGATAACCAGAAATAAAATTCTCACTTAGTGACCTCAGAATGCAGATACCCAAATTTTCTAATAAATGGCTTTGCCATTGAAACACAAGTGATTTTCCCATATTACTGTTCAAAATCTTCTTTTGTCTTCAGACCACTGTCTCTTTCAATGCTGATCCCTCTTTCTACAGTCTCCTCCACACTCCATCCCTACCCCACCCCTTGAGCTCCTCCCCTCTCCTGTACACATTTTCTCATTCAGATAGCTGCAATACAATTTGAAAGCCGTCCCACTCCAACCAAACTTTTTTTTTTTTTGAGATTGCGGTTCACTCTTGTTGCCCAGGCTGGAGTTCAATGGCACCATCTTGGCTCACTGTAACCTCCACCTCCTAGGTTCAAGTGATTCTCCTGCCTCAGCCTCCCGAGTAGCTGGGATTACAGGCACCCACCACCACGCCTGGCTCATTTTGTATTTTTAGTAGAGACAGGGTTTCTCCATGTTGGTCAGGCTGGTCTCGAACTCCCAACCTCAGGTGACCCGCCCGCCTCAGCTTCCCAAAGTGCTGGGATTACAGGCCTGAGCCACAGCACCCAGCCCCAACCAAACTCTTTCCCCAGTGTGCTCGTGCATCTCTACCTTCATCATCTTATAATACAAAATTTGTACTTTTGTGCCTATATGAAATGCTTCCATCTGCTTCTCAAGGTCTCTAAACTCACACCCTTTGTAAACCCTCACCAAAACACCACCTGGTTCATGCTAGCAACAACACAATAGGCTTTTAATTTAGCACTGCACTGACTTAGCTTTATAGAAGACTACAGGCCCAGCAATTGGACATTTTGTTTCTCCGTGGGAGGTCCAGCAGCTACCTATGTACAACTTCTCATCCCATCAACCTTACTCAATTTACCTACAGAAAGTATATACCTGTCAGGGATGAGACCTGGGTATGTGCAGCTCACTTTGACATGGAGAAGCTACTGCTTGGTTTCTTACCCATCTTTAATGTTTTTTCCAGTTATGTAGAATTAAGATGTGTAAGTAACTTAGGAGAGCTTTTTGACTCCTAAGTTGACTTACACACCATAATTCTAGGTCTACACGTACAGTCCAATAGATCAGGTGTTGCACAGTTAAAAAGAAAAACCCTTAGCTCCTGGAATACATTATTTTTCATCCATCTGAACTCTGTCATGTCCATAGAAATGGTGCCAGGACAGGTAGATCCTAGATCAACTTCCGTAGCAAGTCTAGGATTGTTCAGAGTCCAATGATGATAACCCTTTACTCATATCAGTAAAAACAAAAAATCCTTCTTACATTTTTCATTTGATGGATAATCACCCACTGATTTCTGTTATTATCATTGTTATTGTTATTGCTCACATCGTTTGTTTCTTCTGGTTGATTACAGTCATAGAATGTTAATAATATTTCAGATTTCTGTTCACTGCCTTATTCTGTTTTCCTAATCTTGGAAAGTCTGCCTTGTATTTATCTCTGCATTCTATTGTTGCTGTATAGTTGTAACATTGGGACCCCTGAATGCGAGGCTCATATTATTTCATTTATCTCCCAGACGTTTTATGTCCTGTAATTTTGCTCTAACAGGAAAAAAAAAATTGTTTTAGAACCAGACGATCTCAACTTTGGTTACTTATCTAGCTAACCACGTGTTGCTTGACTATCTGCCGCAGTATGAGTAGAGTCATCATTGGCTCTGAGATACTAGAGAAGGAACACATATGCCTTCATGTAACCAGACCAAAGGTGATGGATGTTTTCTTATAACCGCTTCACAGGCAAATGACAAACAGAGAGAACAGAATATTTTAAAACCACAAGAAACAAGCTCAGTTTTGTGTGCTCAAAAATACATATTTTCTGTCTAAAAGAAGGTCTTGGTGTTTAACTAGGAAAAAAAAGTACTTCTTTAGAGATCACGTCTATCCGATGTATTCCCAGAAATGGAGAAAGTACATACTCTGTTTATTCTGTATTATTGTTTAATTCCTTTAACAACACTCTGAGGTGGGAATTTTTATCTTTCTTTCTGACAAAGCATGACTCAACCACAGGCCTCTGACTCTGAGTCCAATGCTCTCTTTACTTAGGTCTATATAGATGATTACACTGTATAAAATAGAAACACACATAATTCACAGGCAGGAAGTTTCACCTTAGTTGAAGAAGGTATGACTTAAACTTAAGTGGAAGGAAAGTGGAGAACTCACCTGGTTTTTACTCATGTTCCCATTTCTGAGTTAGAAGAGGATGGTTCAATCAGGCAGTGTACTTGAACCCAGTATGAGAGCTAACCACATGGAATCTTGAATCAAAATAGCACACAAGTTGACATCTAGTGAAAAGGATGGGCAAAATCAATACAACCCTAGTGTATTGCTAGCAAATAAACTCTAAACCTATCATCAATAAACTATGTTGCATAAGCTTGCAATAGCACGCTAGAAATACGTGTAGCTGTAGTAAAACAATTCACTCTGCATAACCTGGGTGAAGTGTGGCTTGTTTGAAATGGAGTAGAAGGAACATTATTAGTACCAATTCCAGTTGCAAAGGTATTCATTCAAAGACCATTTTTGTACATGTTACATAACAGGCTCTGGCTAAGGAATGAATAAAAAGAAATGAGTCAACATCCCTCATGGATAAGCTTTCACATTCAAGGTAAAACAGTAAGATAGGGAGATACAGGAAATGGAAAAATTTTGCATGAGATAGTATGGGTCACAAAAAATATATTTAATTAGGCCTTGAGAGATAGGGTTGGGGTAGGTCAGCAAAGCTTTAAGGAGATGATGATATTGAAACTGGGTTTCGAAGGATTACCAAGATTTGATTAGGTGGAGCAGGAATGGAAGCTGGTAGTTTGGAAATGGTGAAAGCAAGATGTTTCATATAGAAGAATCACCAATTAAAGAGGCATTGTGAAATGAATGACAAGGCGCGGACTCTTTGGGGAATGACTCAAATGGTGAAGACTATGGACTTTATCTTGTATCCAATGGGTGGCCACTGAAGTAGAAAGGCCACATGAATGGATGTGTATCCTGCATAAAGACAAGCAAGTTTTGTTAAAAAGTGATGCATTGTTCAATTTTGTATTATTTTCTCAAGTATTCAGAATATGATCTGAATTTCTTATCTGAGTGGTCTCTCTACCATCACCATTCTCTCCATGTCTTCATCCATTATAAATGTCTCAAAATGTGTTAAATCTCTACTATGTGCCTATCACCATGTGAAGTACCAGAAGTATAGATTATTGGCAACTATTCTCAAGAATCTTGCAGCAGAAATGGAAATAAACGAGTCTACTAATTAAATCAGTATAATAAAGTCCTGAAATTACCAGGATAGATTATGGACAGGGACAAGGGGAAATGAAGGGATGTTCACTTTGCCAGGGTGTTAGGAAAGGCCAAAGAGAAGGTAGCACTTGGGTTGAGCCCCATGCTAATATGTAAGATTTTAATATTTAACTTTTCTGGAGTACCTATTTTGGTCTAAATGCAGATACTTTTGGAAATGCTATACTATTTAAACCTCACTACAAATGTGTAAGTATTCAAACCCCTCCCTTTAATAGTTCAGAAAGTAGGATTCGGAGAGAAAAACAGAACCTTGGTAAAGGTCACACAGGTGTATAGAGATGGAACTGGGTTCTAAATGTTTTATGCCCTTTTGAAAGAACACTTGATGTTCTTCAAAACTCACGGAGAAGGGGCACTTAAAGTAAAGGCTGTCATGTAGTGCCCAGGACTGTCCTGTATTTTTTGCCTCTTTACCTTGACAGCAGTTTTCCTCTTATTTCCACTCAAGCACCAATGAGTCAATGGTCTTCTAACAGACTAGGTGATAGTCTTCAAGAAAAGGTATGGAACATCACAGCATTTCTTTAACCAAACAGACATCATCTAAATATCCCTTATTCTTATTTTCTTTATATACACTTTAGGAACATTTTATTTGGTTTTCTTTTATACACTATATGTTTTGGAGAAAAAGCTGGGAAGGAAAAGGAATTTTTATAGGATTAAAAAGCTGATTTTTATCATTAAATTTAAATTGTTAAGACTTAGGATGACCAGTTAGACTGCGACTGAGGGGTTCCTTGGGGTACAGGATTTTCAGTACCAGAACTGGGACAGTACCGGGCAAACCTGGATGAACTGGTCACCCTAGTATTCCTGTATTTATTCCTGCCTTCCTTATGCTTAGTACATTGCAGAAATTCAATGAATTTGGGATGAAGTAATCTTTATCTTTGTTTAAGTTGTTACTAACAAGCTATTGTATTTTTTACAACAAATGCAGCTCTGTGGAAAGAAAAGGGACTATTAAAGTCTAGGACACACAAGTTGCAAACTATGTAAAGTCCATGCAGTTCACAGGGCATAAGTAGCATCGATAGAATTTATGCTTCCAGAAAGCCAGTCTCATTCGTGTCTAAATACCCAAGAGAGCAAAATAATCATAGCACAAGCACTCAAAACAATTCCATCTCCTTCTTCTTAAAGCAGGTGTCAAGATTTACAAGTGTCACAGGTTTACAAGTTTATAATCAAAACTTGAAGTTTCATATGCATAATAAACAGAAGGTCTGAAAAGTTTTAAATAAATAATTTAATAATGGATACATCTCACGCCCTCCACTGGGAACTGAAGGGAAGGAAGATCTTTAATGAAAGTTATTCTGAGAAGCAGGAATCAGAGATACCCACTGAAGAGGATTCAAAGATTCCAGTTTGTGCAAATGACAAACACCAAATTCAAAAAAAAGCAAGTTACTTTTGTAACGAAGATGTTTCATCTAGAAAGTTTTGGATGGATACAATGAAAACACTACAAGTCTGTGGTTAAAATTTCATTGTTGATAAAACCACTACAAGTCTGTGGTAAAATTTTGTTGTTTATCAGTGCCTTTAACTTTACTGGTTGGTATGAAATGTAGTTCTTTTGGAAAACAGCTCTAAGAGATGTATTCTAATCATCCAAATGCATTTGTTTCTTTCTGTTGTCAGAGATTGTGCAACTAGCAGTTACAAATAGAAGAAAAATAAATAAAATCAAAGTTCCGGATCTAAAGGAGCTTGCAGACTATCCAGGACACCAGATAACAAATAGGTACAGTAATATATGAAAAGTGTGAAAATTCAGGTTTGCACTGTAAAGGAAGCAACAAATGCTGTGGGAACATTCAGGTAAGCATCAAAGAAGAGGTGACATTCAGCCTAAACCTAGGAGAATGAATTAAGCTGTGTGTTAAACACACACACACACACAAGCAACACACACACACACAAATATATGAAGAGTTTAGTCTCTAAGCTTTTTAAATGTATATAAAATAAAATGATACCAAGTATAGCAACCAATTAGCCTACCACTTTGACAGAAAGATCTTTTATAAAGATAAGAGTGGAGGCTTCTGGGTGAACATAGAAACCTAACTGTTTGATTCCTTCACTTCTGCTAACAGGTCCATGGAGTGAGAACTATCAATGATCTAGGTGTTGAGAAAAAGAGAGATTACAAAGAGCTGAAAAGATTAGATGGCCCTGCCTGAGAGACAAGAGAGGTGTCAGCCACACTGTAGGCTTTTAAAATAGATATCAGATCACATCACTTCCTATTTTAAAATCTTCTAGCTGCTGACTCTTAAAATTACAGTAACTCCAAATTCTTTCTCGTGGCCTTTGAAGAACCCCATAGTCTGAGCCCTGCCTGCTTCTCTGATCTCCTTACACACTCCTCTCCTTTACATGGCTACTCCAACCACAGCACCCTGTCTGCTCCTAAGACCCTGCAAGCCTGTTCCAGCCTGCATCCTTTGCACTTGCTTTGCCTTTCAAGAAAAGCTCTGAGTCTACTTCTTTCATCTGGCTGCTGCCACTTTGAAGACATGGCCAGTGCCACCCAGCTCAAACTGCCTGCATCCCTCCCTCCCAGTCAGTCTGTAATCAATGATTGCTATGGGTTAAACTGTGGTCCTCTAAAGAAATATGTTGAAATCCTAACCCTGGTATGTCAGAAGGTGACCTTATTTGAAACAGGTTACTTGCAGAGGTAATTAAGTGAAAATGAAAGCATTAGGGTAAACCCGTAATTCAGCATGACTTAGGTCCTTACAACAAGGGAAAATTTGGACACAGAGACACCCACACAGAGAGGATGCCATGTGAAGACGGAAGTAGATATTTGGGGTGATGCTTCTACCAGCCAAAAAATAAAATAAAATAAGATAACAGAGAAACTGACAGAAGTTAAAGGACAGGCAAGGAACAGATTCTCTCCCTTCACAGCCCTCAGAAGGAACCAACCAAGATCAACCTGACACCTTGATCTAGGACTTCTAGCCTCGAGAAAATAAATATATGTTATGTCGAGGGCATAAATATATGTTCTTTAAAACACTCAATTTGTGGTACTCTGTTATGGCAGACCTAGCAAATGGATACAAGTGGCCCAGGTTTTTTGTTTTTTGTGTTTTTTTTGAGACAGAGTCTAGCTCTGTCACCCAGTCTGGAGTGGAGTGTAATGGTGCAATCTTGGCTCACTGCAACCTCTCCTCCTGAGTTCAAGTGATTCTCCTGCCTCAGCCTCTTGAGTAGCTGGGATTTTAGCCACGTGCCACCACTCCAGGCTCATTTTTGTATTTTCAGTAGAGACGGGGTTTCGTCATGTTGACCAGGCTGGTCTCAAACTCCTGACTTCAGGTGATCTGCCTGCCTTGGCCTCCCAAAGTGCTGGGATTACAGGTGTGAGCCACCACGCCCAGCCATGGCCCATTTTTAAAATAACGTTTACCTATAACTAAAACAATCCTATGTATTTGTTAATTCCTCCACTGGAAGACACGCTTCAAGAAAGTATTGAGTTTTTCTTTCTTGCTCATAGCTCTACGTTGGCACCCCAAAACAGTGACTGGCATATACTAGCCACTTTATAAATATTTTTGAATCACTGAGGAAAAGACAGAAAGAATGAATGAGAATAAAGTGGGGCAGAATTTACACGGAGACACATGCTAGAGAGGACAATCTAAGGATGTTTCCTGGTGGTAAATAAGCAATATTACCACTCTTATCGATTGTTTTTCAAATTATTGGGATAGTTAGCAGTGATAACATTGAACTGAAATGAAGTTATTTTGTTATATTTACCTTTTAGTAAAATTTACATTTTACTGATATTTTAGAACAGTTTGTGATGTTAGAATTAGGCAGTTTATTATTTCTTTTTATCTGGGTTTCTGAGTCGTGATTGTTTATAAATGTGAATTTGTAGAAACTGGTACTTTTTTGTTTTCATTTAGTTCTACTCGGTAGGTATTCT